GGCTGGGTGTTTGGTCGGATCATTATGTGAGGATTTGGCAAGGACAGATCCAGGGCGCAGGCAGGTTTCAAAGTTTAACAAAAAGTTTTAATAAGACAACAAAAAGAGGGCTGCTGGCAGCAAACTTACAACTTCTGAAGAATATCAGGCACGAGGAGGGCAAAGCACAAGGAACCAAACCAGACACATGCAAAACACAACAATGATCCGACAAAAGACAGAGACAGGACAGGGCTTAAATACACAGAAAACTAATTACTAAACAGAACACACCTGGGGAGAAACACAAGGGTGACAATCAAGGAGATGTGGGGCAGCTGGGCAGAGAAACACAGGGGAACACTGAAAACACTAGAAAACTAAGGAAAATAAACACAGACCATGACAGTTAGTAGTTCTGTTTTTTGGAAGAGGTGTGTAAGATGTTTCTACATCTCTGACTTCTGAGTTCAAAGAGTTTGTTTAGAAACAGGAGTAAAACTAGATGTTTCATATGAACCTTGAGACCACTCTGGGATGTTTCAGGGCACATCCTTGTGGATGAGGACTTTGAGAGGACGGTGTTAGTGGTGAACCTTGGAAGTATCCCTCCAATGGAGACGGTCCATATCCTGGTCAGTACTTCTTCAGAACTCTCCACTCTACCCAGCGGGGGCATCAGGGTCTCATCCCCACCTGTTTGTACCCCTCGGGTGCAGAGAACTATCAACGAGGAGCAGGGATTGTCCCCAAACTTCTCCAGAGCGTAAGTGAAAAGTCTGTGAAAGTTATAGAAGAGTATAAAACAATTTAAGTATGGTAACTGCTGCCAAAACAATTGTCGATATTTCTGTTAATGTGGAGAAAAAGTGACTCAAAGTGTCAGAGTGGTTACACTTGTATCATTTTTAGGCGTGAAAGACACAACTGTCCCTCAAGTCCTCATGATCCCAATCCACATGTCCCCCAGCTGTGGTTGGCTGCGCTGCTGGAGGAAGAAGCCATCAACTCCATGGATTATGAGTTTAACTTCCAGCTGGAGATCCGGGCTCCCTATCTGCTCGCAGGTCAGAGGATTTTTCTCTACTTCCTGTTTAAATGGACAACTTAYGCTTTTTAAAATTTAATATCTTATTTAACAATGTCATGTTGTACAGGAAACAAAATGTGTTGTCTCGTGTGTATAAATCCATAAATGGTTATTTCAGGCACTGGCTCAGCTTTCTGTGTATTTGTTGAAGCAATAATGCAGAGGACTAAAGTCAGTGGAAAAACTTGCTGACATTTTAAGAAACACATTTTTCTTTCAATTCATTCTTTGGCTTTGAATAAAAACTGGAACCAGCCTCCGATGGTCCTTAAAGAACACGTTCCTCTGAAGATCAGACAGGTTGAATATTTATTCTTACAACTCAAAAGTGAATCAGATAGTTAAAGGTCGACACAATTGTTTCTAATAGGTGTTTTCAGCCAACCAACAAAGGCTGAGGCCTGCTCCAACATAAATGTCCTTGAACTGAAAAACTGAGAAGTGAAATGTTTTGTTGGAGTGTTTTCATCAGACACGTGTGTGTGTCTTGTAAGGATATGTTTTTCACTTATTTAGTAGTTTTTTAGTTGATTTTTAGATGTGTGGCTTTAATGTTCTGGTTCTTGTGTTTTAATCAGTTTATGTCTGGGACATCAGTCACCTGAGTTCAGTTTCTCCTCTCACACCTGTGGTCAGCCTCCAATCAGCTCAGCTTCCTCTCATCCCTCATCATCCTCAGCTGTGTTAGTGCGTCTCCACCTCAGCTGATCTGTATTGCTGGGTTTCTGATGACGTAGTATCGACGTCATGAAATGTAGATGGGGGCAGGAAGTAAATGCAGCCCAGTTTCTTTTCAGCGTCAAAATGCCTAAACTCTGTGCCATGTATGGTTGTTGCAACCACTTCAGTCTGGAGAAATATAAGGTTTTTTCATGTTTCGCAAATAGTGTGTTAGTGAAAAGACGACAAAAGTGGATCAACGATCTACGGCTAAAAACTGGAAGTGTGGAAACAAACCATGCAAGAGTTTGCAGCAACCACTTTAGGTAAGGATCATATCGTTTAAATCACATTTTCAGATATTTTCCAGGATGGATACTCTAATTTGGGTTTACAGAAGCTAAATAAATTATTTACAAGTAGATCCAAGCACATAGAAATAACAGGCGTTAACTCATTAGCATTAGCCATAGCATTCTTATCATAGGCTAATTACTTAAAATAGCACGTCACTCTTCACCAGGGCAGAAACAAGTCGACAGATATTTAAAGCTTCTTTGATCCTAAATGTTTCACCCAACCTGAAACTAAATAATTGTAGCTTGCAGGCACTAAAGCAGATGGAAAATTGTTATTGTCTGCCTGACTCTTTTGTTCCCAAAACAACTGATTACAGAATCTGGCTCTCCCCTACAACGGCCTTGAGCTGTTGACTAAAATCTTCCTGGCTGGATTACGTCGCTAAGGCTCTGCCCCACACCTTTCCCCCTCCTCTAACACCCGTCTGATCTGGTTTCCTGAGCAGGCTGAGGGCCTCACAGAATGAACAGTTTCCATAAATATTCTGAACTATTGCTGCGCTGGTTTAGGGGACTGGATTTTTCTGGTCCCCATAAACTCACTTACTCCTCTGGCTAATAAATCTGCCCTATGCAGAGGTTTTTTCATAAACACCATAATGTGTCACAGTGTTGAGATAATATGATGTTTTTGCTTTTTTCCTCATCTTCCCTTGTGTGGTTTTTAGTTTTACTGTTGTTAAGGTAGCGCAACTGTGTTTGCTGCATGACCGGTCTTAACTGCCCCCTCCCCACTTCCCTGAATGTACAGCACCTTGTGAATTTATTTCTGTGAAAGACGCTATATAAATAAAACTTTACTTACTTACTTATTTACTTACTTACTTATTTACTTACTTACTTATTTATTTACTTAAAGCTTTCATCTGGCTCGTCGAATAATACGAGCTCTGCAGCACCAGATAATTTCTGTCAATATAACATATAATCCTCCAGATTATACGACAAGTCTTTTTTTATTAGCACAATATGGATCAGATCCTAGATGTATGTGTATTTTTTGCAATATCTCCTCTGTGCCAGCTCATTTAGAGCATTGGTGCACTCACTGTGATCCATTTCTCTGTGTTTTGAATTGGAGCAAATCACTTCCTGCCCCACATCTGAATTTCACGTGTCTTGTTAAAATATGTTGAGTTATACTTTGGAGTCCTCGTGTGTCTGCATTCTGGGTCCAGTCTGTCCACCAACACCCACATGTAGACGATACAAACAAGACTTTATTTAGTTTAAAGAGGACCTACTATGGGGGTTCTAGAACAAGTTAGGATACAAGTGTGAGCTATACAAAACATGTTAATTTGATTTAATTCACAAAATAAATCTCAGATGTTTAGATTTCACCTTTTCAGTTCAGCCCTTTCTGAGCTCTTTAGAACGTGTTGTAATGCAAAACTGCGGTTGGCAACCCCTTCCCAACCTTTTGTTTACGTTAACTCTTCCCTCCCAACATGGCGTTTACATTAGGAGTTCAGAACCGTAAAATCCATGATGACTAGTATAAGCAGAGGCACGATGTTATGACAGTAGTAGACAGGCTGCGCACAGTGTGGCCACCCCCAGGGCTTGGTAGGGACAGAATRGAGCATCTGACCGAAGTCAGGCGCCTTGATGCCGTGGAGGACAATTCCTGGATTCCTGGAGCTGGTGAAGATGAACCGTGAGGCAGTCAGGGTCCAGGACTCACAGCCTGGAGACTCCCACACCATAGGAGTCTCCAGGCTGCAGCCTGGAGACTGTGCAGACCAGCTCTGTCCGGTGGTCCTGCATATCTTCAACCTGAGCCTGAATCTGTAGAGGGTCCCTGATCTGTGGAAGACTTCCTGCCTGGTTCCAGTGCCAAAGATCACACATCCCAGGGAGCCCAACCACTACAGATCTGTGGCTCTGACTTCTCACTTGATGAAGACCATGGAGAGGCTCATCCTGCACCATCTTCRTCCTGTGGTGAGCGCAGCACTGGACCCTCTGCAGTTCACCTACCAGCCCGGCATCGGGGTGGAGGATGCTGTCATCTACCTGCAGCACCGAACAGAGTCATGTTCTTTGACTTCTCCAGTGCTTTCAACACTATCCAGCCTGCTCTGCTGAGAGRGAAGCTGGAGGGAGCCAGAGTGGACAGGCAGCTGACAGCATGGACCATCGACTACCTCACCAACAGACCACAGTATGTGAGGCTCCGCGACTGTGTGTCTGAYGTGGTAGTCTGCAGCATGGGGCACCACAGGGCAYGGTCCTCTCACCCTTTCTGTTCAGTCTGTACTCGTCAGACTTCAGGTACAACTCGGACCACTGCCACCTTCAGAAGTTCTCTGATGATACGGCCATCATTGGATRCATATCAGACAGGAATGATGAGGAATGCAGGGGGGTCATCAGTGACTTTGTTGGCTAGTGTGAGACCAACGCTCTTCAAATCAATGTCAGCAAGACGAAGGAGATGGTCATAGACCTCAGGAGGAAGTCACCCCCCACAGCACCGGTGAACATCCAGGGAAAAGTCAATGAGACAGTGGATTCTTACAAGTACCTGGGTGTTCACCTCAACAACAAGCTGGACTGGACTACAAACACAGACGTCTTGTGTAAGAAGGGCCAGAGTCGACTCCACCTGCTGAGGAGACTGAGGTCCTTCAGTGTCTGTAGGACTCTGTTACAGACATTCTACAACACGGTGGTAGCATCTGCCTTTTTCTATGGAGTGGTCTGCTGGGGGGCTGGATGTACCGAAAGGGACAGGAATAGGATGGACAAACTGGTACGGAGGTCAAGCTCTGTGCTGGGATGTCCTCTGGAGCCTGTGGTTGTGGTGGGTGAGAGGAGGATGTTGGCAAAGCTGACAGCCGTCATGGACAACCCCCACCACCCTCTGCATGAAACCGTGGGGGGTGGGGGGGTGGGGGGTGGGGTGAGCAGCTCCTTCACTCAGAGACTTCAACATCCTCACTGCAGGACGGTGCGCTTCCGTAGGTCATTCATTCCAACTGCAGTTAGACTGTATCATGATGTCATCAGTTAGACTGTATAACACATCATGATTTTATCAGTTAGACTGTATAACACATCATGATTTTATCAGTTAGACTGTATAACACATCATGATTTTATCAGTTAGACTGTATAACACATCATGATTTTATCAGTTAGACTGTATAACACATCATGATGTTATCAGTCACTTGGACAATTCACCTACACTGCCATCACTAATATGCACCTGCAGATACAGTATATTCATTTATGGACTGTACTAGTTATATGTACATTGTTATATATCACGAGTATAATGTTTTTTGTTTTTCTTTTACTTATCTTTCTTTATTCTATCTCACCCTGTCCTGTTTTGAGCTGCTGTAATGTGCAAATTTTCCCACTGTGGGATCAATAAAGTTTTATCTTATCTTATCTTAATCTGGACTTCCTTAAGATTGTCGGAAGGGCAAAAATAGGCCTGATTTTCTTGTAGTGTGACGCCGGCCTAAGGTGCCTGACTTCGGTCAGACTCTCCAGTCTTTCCTACCAAGCCCTGGGGGTGGCCACACTGTGCGCAGCTGGATTGGTTAACAACAACGCACCGCGTGTTGTGTGGCTACCCCAGCAGAGGAGAGCGACAGACTGGTGCCCGGAGAGGCAAACACCCCCCACAGGCCKGAGTGGTGGGAGGGGGAATGCGGTCCATGCTCCAATAATCACCATCATCTGCAGATTTGTGAGGAACGTTAGGGACAGAAATTTCCTTCAGCTGAAAGTCTTTGGGTAAATCCTGCTGATAGTAGTTTCTAAAGTAGACCATGGTGAAATTATTTACACAAACCACAACTTTCTTTGTGATTATTGCTAGAACATTGCCATTAAAAATAAAAAGTAAATTAAATAAAAATAAAATAAAGCCACACATCTCTGTTCTCCAAGACTGTTGTAAAACCAGCAGAACTAACGCAGTCGTCCTGTGAAGAAGTGGGTGGAGTCTCTGCTTGGCTTAGCAGGTGAGGGGCTGGGCTCGCCTTGGCGTTGCTAGGTCACCGGGATTGTGATGTCWCTATCCCCAGGTTTTGGAAAACGCTTGTTTGCTGAGACAAAAAAAATTATACATTGTCAAAAACAATTTTTGTTGTTTGGACTGTTTCTGGAAGCAATGAAGAAATGACTGTTGTATTAAAATAATGAATTGATGTTAAATTTTAGGATGCACTAGTCCAGCTGTTTCAGTTATCTACATATATCAAGGCTGCWCAAACCTTTTCCCCAAAATGAAAATCTATCTGAGGACTGTGGACAAATGCAATAATGTAATTCATGAAATACAAATACTTCTTAAGTACAGTCCTTTTATTTGAATGATTCTGTCCTGCTGGAGTGTGACATGATTTGTTTGTGTACAAACTAATACACTATCAGAGTTTTATATATTTATTTGTACTTTGTTACATTACAACTCTGCATGATGATGATGATCCTTGCTCTATGCAGGGTCCATGGTTGCATGACCTGGGGGCACCTTTTCTCCTATGATGATGATGATGTTAATGATGATGATGATGATGCATTTATTCTCATTGTACAGAGCACAATGAAATTACATTTAATGTTTAATATTTATGTTTGTTTATCTTCTGTCGTCTTGTGATCGGGTGTTCTGAACTGTAATTTCCCCTTGGGATCAATAAGTATCTAACATTCATTCATTCATTCATTCATTCATTCATTCATTCATTCATTCATTCATTTATTCATTATCTACTAAAACTTTACTGATTTATACAGAGCTCCCAAAGCAGAGATTCTCAAACCTTTTGGGTCTGAGGAGGACCCCTTACAAGTGTGAAAAACTTTCAGGGACCCCCTCATAAACGCCATGCTGCTTTAAAAATAATTCATTTTCTGTCATTTTTAAGTTATTTTTACTTTGGTTTAAAATGTTTGTGTTACTAAGTTCATTGTTCCCCACATGTGCTTTTTAAAAAATCTAAATCAAATTAACAATTTGTTGAGGACCCCAAAGATACAGCTTGGTGACCCCTGGGGGTCCCGGGACCCCAGTTTGAGAACCTCTATCCTAAAGAGACTTTGGATTTTTTTAAAATGTTAAAAATCAAAGGAAGGTGTTTTTACATGCTAAAATCAAATTTCCCTCAAAATTCAGCAAGTGGGTCCATAGATTTAATATTAATATAAATTGTTTTTAATAATAATA